CCAGGCTGGAGTGCAGTGGTGTGACCTTGGCTCACTGCAACCTCCGCCTCCCAGGTTCAAGCAATTCTCCTGCCTCACTCTCCCGAGTAGCTGGGACTGCAGGCATGCTCCACCACACCCAGCTAATTTTTGTATTTTTAGTACAGACGGGGTTTCACCATGTTGGCCAGGATGCTCTTGATCTCTTGACCTCGTGATCCACCCACCCCGGCCTCCCAAAGTGCTGGGATTACAGGCGTGAGCCACCGCACCCGGCCACTTCCCTCATTTTATAAAATTGGGGTTGTAACAACACTTACCCACGACGGTACTAAAAGCCTTAAATGACATAAAGTATTTAAAGCATTTAGCCTAATACCTAACCTATAGTAAAGATTAACTGTTATTTTTGTTTCCCTTAAGCTTTGGGTAACAACTGGGCGGTGGTCCTGTTAGGAGATACAATGTAGCTGTTCCTTGTTGCCTATTGAAGAGAGCTGAATGCTTTGGTGGCCAGACATGGAAGCAGTATTGCTGACACTTTGTTATCAAAACCAAGAGGCCTGTCTTAAATTCTCATGCGGATAAGCAGGAGGAGGGGGAATCACCCAACATCTGTAGAGAGCTGGACCACAGGGGTAGAAACAGAATTGTTTAAGACACCAATACCAAGCTAAATAGTTAGTGCCACCAGTGATGAAATAAAAATAACCGCAGCCATTAAGAAAGAACATTGAATTCATGTTTTTGGATCATGGGTCTGGAAAACTATTTAATGTACATTTTACCTTGGAAGACATGACATAATTCAATTTTATATGAATTTTATATTGTATAATTTATTTGTTTTCAAATCTTCAAACATTGGGTTTTACAGTGTTTCATAAAGCTACCTTACCAATCTTACTTGACGACGTAAAACGTACTGAAGGTATTATTGACTCTGTTGAAGCGGAGAGAACAAAACGCAGTTTTTACATAATGAGAAAGGCGTTTTAAATGTTTTTCAGACTTCCTTGGCTCCACTACCCTGCTATGTGTACCTTATTGAGCATCCTTCCCTCAAATATGCAACCACTCGTTCTATAGCCAAGTATCCTGTGGGTAAGTCGTAGTTCCCATTGACATAATGCAATAAAATATATCCTAGCTGAAACTCAGAGAAATTTTTCTTTTTTTTTTGGAAACAGAGTCTTGCTCTGTCACCCAGGCTGGAGTACAATGGTATGATCTCAGCTCACTACAACCTCCATCTCCCCAGTTCAAGAGATTCTCCTGCCTCAAGCTCCCTACTTGCTGGGATTACAGGCATGTGCCACCACGCCCAGCTAATTTTTGTATTTTTAGTAGAGATGGGGTTTCACCATGTTGGCCAGGTTGGTCTTGAACTCCTGACCTCAGGTGATTCACCTGCCTCGGCCTCCCAAAGTGCTGGGATTACAGGTGTGAGCCACTGCGAAAAATACTAGCCGTCTAACTTTGGTAATACATACATTCATGAGCTTGTCCAGAGTGGTCAGATTTGATTGGATCAGAAAGGCAAGGGGTCTGTTTCTCCGAAGTGCTCGTGCTGCCAGCGGACTACTCCAGGTTGTTTTCCGGCCTCTCCTTATCAAGACCTGTAAAAGATCTGAGAAATTTTACCTGACTTACGTGTTAACGATGAGCTTGGCACTTTTGAGTGGATGCCAGTAGAAGACACAAGACTCCTAAAACAGAGACCAAGAATAGGTGACTAACAGTAGTCATAGCAGAGTGTCAGCACTTTTGCTCCACTCTCCAAGCTCCAGTTCCCACAGGGTGACAGGAAAGGAGTCAGAGGCAGTTCTGCATGCCACTGGCTGCATTCTAGGAGAGAAACACTAAACAGAAGAATCTTAATCTTGTATAATGGGCAGTAAGCATGAGTGCCCTTTGCCCCAAGGAAAACCCCATTCCTAACTTCCAAGGCTGTTCACTGTACAGACATCCTTGAAAACATAATCTGGAACAAAAATAATCTGTGTCAGGCCGGGCGCGGTGGCTCACGCCTGTAATCCCAGCACTTTGGGAGGCCAAGGTGGGTGGATCACAAGGTCAGGAGATCAAGACCATCCTGGCCAACATGGTGAAACCCCATCTCTACTAAAATTACAAAAATTAGCTGGGTGTGGTGGTGGGTGCCCATAATCCCAGCTACTCCGGAGGCTGAGGCAGGAGAATTGCTTGAACCCGGGAGTCAGAGGTTGCAGTTAGCTGAGATTGCACGACTGTACTCCAGCCTGGTGACAGAACAAGACTCCGTTTCAAAAAAAAAAAAAAAAAAGTTCGTGTCTTGCTCACGAGACTTGGAGAAATGCAAAAGGCCCATGAAGAACCCTCTCTCCATATCCCTCTTGTCACCTGCTTTGCAATATATGTTTCATGAACTGTTTGTCATCTGTTCTCTTGTTTACCCTGCCAGTTACTAGGCTGTGAGTCCATCTTTACCTTCTGGTACTTCCAACATGCAGCCCCACACTCTGGTGCACCCTCTCAAACAGATGCTCTTTCTTATCTATCCCATTCTCTTTCCTGAGCGCCCCGTTAGCATAATGAGTTATCTGCAGACTATGCTACAATTAAAATTACAACTTAAAATAGTTTTGTTAAACCTCAGATGGCTTAGCTAAGAGTAATTTAATTTAAAACCAGGTTGGCAAACAATGTAAATAAATAAAAATCTAAAATTATTCTGGATATTCAAGTATTGATCCTTTTGTGCATAATAAAGAGATCTTTATATGGCCATCTTTGGTGACCATATTGTCCAAACCAAAAGTTAAGTTTTCACTACAAGGTTTTCACTACAAGATCTCATATCAGAGCAGAATATTTAGATTGTAGAACATGGCTATGGCAGAGTCCGGTGCGAAGCTGAATAAATAATGGTTACACAAACAACTTCTCTAAGTCTCAAATGAGACCATGGTTGATCTGAGAAAGTTAGGAGAAGGCTGTGTCCAGTTGCTTTCCCGTGTGTGTGTGTGTGTGTGTGTGTGTGTGTGTGTGTGTGTGTGTGTGTCTGCATGATCCTAAGACTGGCTGCAGTACACTGCTTCTTTCAGGATAAGATTTACCTAGAATGATCCTGTCACATTTCTTCTGCCATGGGAACAGAATGCAAAGGTGGTCCTTGTAAGTGCCGACTAGAAGTTAAAGCAAATTTGTATGCAGTAATATTCTCAGTGTGTTACAAAATGTTGACTCAGAAAGATTGTCTCTCTGATGTTAAACATGCTTTATTTTCCAATGAGTGCACGAGATAAAAATCATGCAAATAAAACAGCAAAGTTGGAAGGAGAACATATAACATTTCTAATTATTTACAATGAGCTTAATATTCCCTCAGATTGAAACATTTTAAAGATCTGGCTCAACTTGTCAGGGCCAGACATATCAGCAGATGTTTGTTCTGGCTAAGAGTAGCATTGCCTGCAAATATCAGAGACCAAGACTGATTGATATTTGAAAGTTTGGAAAGCTTGTGCTTTTATCTGGTGTCACAGAGAAACAGGATCTGTATCTCCTACTGCTAAGCCTTTGGTTTGTTTCAGGTAATTGCCTATATTTGGGTATTTAGCTTACGCCAGTTCCTTACTTCAAGTATTGATACTTTTGTGCATAATTAAGATTCCTTTATTCTTAAATCATTGACTAGGGGATTACTATGATTGACTTAAACTATTCAACATTTACTCTTCAACTGAAGAAAAATTTACCTACCCTGAAGATTGAAAGCCCAACTAAAACCAGGATTCTATTAGAAAAAGGAGGAAGGTGAAGTGGATTTAGGGTAGGCTAACGACAACGTATTCTGTAGGATTCCTACAAACATCTACAAACACACTTTTTCACATATTTGCATAAGTCATTTATGCACAGATGCATTTCTGACACCATATACTTAAATATATGTTCATACGTTTGTGCAAGAAGCCTAAGCACAATAAACAAAAAATGATGCAAGAGGATATGACAGGATTTTGTATGTCGGGAAATAACAGAAGTGGGTGAAAATAGGATGAGTGTAAAAGAACGTAGTCCATGAATGGGGTGGGAGAGAATGAGGGTAGAATGAGGGTGGTGCGTTTGGTAAATGGTTTGATAAATGGAGAAGGTGATGGCTGGGGAGGTGGCTTTGTGGGAGGCTTGAGTGGGAAGGAAGGGTCTACAGAAGTAGTTTACAGAAAGAGTATTTTGTAGGTGTCAGGATGGATGTTTGACAGCCATACAAAGTAGACCCAGCAGTTCAGGCATCTTTCATATGAGTCACAGAAAATGAATATACATTTTTCCTGCATAAAATTAAAACCAGGCCGGGCGCGATGATGGCTCATGCCTGTAATCCCAGCACTTGGGGAGGCCCAGGAGGGCAGATTACCTACGGTCAGGAGTTCAAGACCAGCCTCACCAACATGGCAAAAGCCCATCTCTACTAAAAATATAAAAATAAGCCAGGAATGATGGCCCTTGCCTGTAATCCCAGCTACTCAGGAGGCTGAGGCAGGAGAATCACTTGAACCTGGGAGGCAGAGGTTGCAGTGAGCCAAGATCACGCCATTGCCCTCCAGGTTGGGCAACAAGAGTGACACTCCATCTCAGAAAAGAAGAAAAAAGAAAGAAAAATTAAAACCATTGCACTATTATATTAGGATGGATTGTTATATTAAGGTCAAAATTGTTGCTCAGCCAGGTGCAGTGGCTCACTCCTGTAATCCCAGCACTTTGGGAGGCCAAAGCAGGCAGATCATGAGGTCAGGAGTTCAAAACCAACCTGGCCAACATGGTGAAACTCTGCCTCTTCTAAAAATACAAAAATTAGCTGGGCGTGGTGGCACACGTTTGTAATTCCAGCTACTCAGGAGGCTGAGGCAGGAGAATCGCATGAACCCGGGAGGCGGAGGTTGCAGTGAGCCAAGATAGCGCCACTGCACTCCAGCCTGGGCGACAAAGCAAGACTCTGACTCAAAAAAAAAAAAATTGTTGCTGAAGGGTCACACAGATTGTCACATTGACTTAAATCCATGGTTCATCTTGTCTAGATTTCTGTGACTAAATAGATGTCCTTCCTCCTGTCAAAGCTAAATGTCAAACCTTAACATTTCCTACATAAAATTAAAACCAGGCTGGGCGCAATGATGGCTCATGCCTGTAATCCCAGCACATGGGGAGGCCCAGGAGGGCAGATTACCTACGGTCAGGAGTTCAAGACCAGCCTCACCAACATGGCAAAAGCCCATCTCTACTAAAAATACAAAAATAAGCCAGGAATGATGGCCCTTGCCTGTAATCCCAGCTACTCAGGAGGCTGAGGCAGGAGAATCGCTTGAACCTGGGAGGCAGAGGTTGCAGTGAGCAACCTCTTAACATTCTCTTGGTGTCCACCTCTTATTTTGTCGCATAAACTTGTTCACCACTTCTACTATGTTATGATTTTTAAATATTTTGCAATATTGAAGGAAATTAAAAGGGAAAAAAAAACACAGAGTTTCCTATGTCTAACATTACTGATTTTTCTTCCATGTTCTCTCCTGGTCTTTACTCACTATGCATAGAACTTAAACGTGTACATGTTCTGCTTTCCTTTTGCCAAACATGATGCCTCAAATATTTTCCTTGATGCTACGTGATTCACCTTTTCAATAATTTTGAAGAACGTAATTCTAAATCTTGATACATTAAAATGCTTAGTTTTATAATATATTTTAATACTGATGTAAATGTGACTCTTTCTCCTTCTGTACCTTAGGTATAGAAGTTGGTCCTCAGCCGCAAGGGGTTCTGAGAGCTGATATCTTGGATCAAATGAGAAAAATGATTAAACATGCTCTTGATTTTATACATCATTTCAATGAAGGTAGGTAAGTAAGGAAGGTAACATATGTAAAACTTAACCACCAAACATTTAAATTACAATTGGAACCTAGGTCAAATTTGCCATGTTAATGATATTAAGTGCTTTAAAAAATTTTTGTTTACTTCAGCCATTCCAGAATAGACACATTCAAGAAAAGCAGCTGCCTAATAAAGCCTCCAAATTAAATCCTTATTTCCTATTAATCTCTATTTTAAAATGAAAAGAAAGGCTAGAAAATACAAATGCCCGGTAAACATATGAAAAGATGTTCAGGCCGGGCGCGGTGGCTCACGCCTGTAATCCCAGCACTTTGGGAGGCCGAGGCGGGTGGATCACGAGGTCAAGAGATCAAGACCATCCTGGTCAACATAGTGAAACCCCGTCTCTACTAAAAATACAAAAAATCAGCTGGGCATGGTGGCGCATGCCTGTAATCCCAGCTACTCGGGAGGCTGAGGCAGGAGAATTGCCTGAACCCAGGAGGCGGAGGTTGCGGTGAGCCGAGATCGCGTCATTGCACTCCAGCCTGGGCAACAAGAGCGAAACTCCGTCTCAA